CTCGTGGGACAACCAGGTCTCAGTAAGACAAAGTAAATCAATATCATAATCTGATATTAATTCATTCACTAAAACAGCTTTAGAGGACAGAGACCTGATATTTAACAGCCCACATTTCATTCTCTTATTTTGTGCTACTGAGGAGTTGGTTTTAATTTTTATTAGATTTTTATGTTGAACTCCTCTTGTTTTTGTTTCTTTAAATAATGTAGGTGGTCGGGGGACAGACACAGTCTCTATGGGGTTTTGGGTGGGTGACTGCACTAATGGAAGAGCAGAGAAGTGTGTAAGACTGCAGCTTTTAATGCGCCATCTTTTGTTGTAGAGCATCTTTGTCTAGTAGTAGGGCTTCAAACACTAGTGGGTTTGATCACCCATTCCAACAATTTCTGAGTATTCTCTATAGGTTTCTAAAAACATAACTTTTTTCTTTAGTATGCATTTCCACAGACAGTGTTTCCTTCCACTAATCAGAAGGTTGGCGGTTCGATCCCCAGCTCCTCTCGCTGCATTTCAAAGTGTCCTTGAGCAAGATACTGAAGCCCAAATTGCTCCGGTGTTTGAATGTGTATGAATGCTTAGTTTCCTTTCTGATGAGCAGTTTGCACCTTGCATGGCAGCCACTGCTATCAGTATGTGAATGTGTGCGGATGGGTGAGTGTAGCATGTAGTGTACAATGCTTTGAGTGATCGGAAGACTAGAAGACTCTCTCTGGCAAACTTCAGTCTGGCCTTAATGTTTCTCTTAGAGAGTAAAGGTTTCCTCCTTGTACACCCCCCGTGAAAAGAGGCATGCACTTTCACATCAACAGTCGCCAGAGCCTGCTGTAGGTCCCATGATGACATTTTAGGGGTTTTGGAGACTTCTTTTAGCATCTTGCAGTCTGCTCTTGGGGTGAACTTGCTTGGACGACCAGACCTGGGCATGTTGGCAGTTGTTTTGAATGTCCTACACTTGTACACACAAACTCTTTTGAGATCTTTGTAAATCCCTTACCAGACTCATAAGCTGCAACAATCTTCTTTTTGAAGGCCTCAGACAGGTCTTTCGATCTCACCATGGTGTTCACTCTCACGTCAACAGTCAGGAGCACACCAAACTGAATGTCTGAGGTTTGAATAGGGCTGAAAAATGCTAAGTAAAATGCTTTTCACATTACTAGAAGTACAGTCCATTTACCATTTACCATCTTTACCTCTCTTCAGAGGAAATAATCTGCTCAAAATTCATCAAAATTGCTCGTTTTACACATTGTTTAGGTTCATTGTCCAGTTTATCAGTTGCTCTGTATTGTTATTATTATGCATTGAATACAATATAAAATATGTCACTTAGGGGTCGTCAGTTTACTCACTAAAGAAAAGGGGTCCCTTAAGGAAAAAGGTTGGGACCCATTGGGGTATGGTATGATTTAAGGTAAAAGACCTCAGCGCCGCTTCCCCACCTACAGTACCAACTGTCTCTTGTCCATGTCTGCTTTAGTCTTGTTCTCCCTGTCCTCTATCCCTTTTCTTGTCTAATGTGTCTTCTCTCTCTATCTCCAGGGACATATGTGGGACTTGATGGAGCCTCAGGCTCTAAAAATTAGATGACCCCATCACTGTCCCAGGCGCTGACCTCTATCAGTCCTACATCCACCTTCGATTTCACAGTCAGTAAATCATTGAACTTCCTCAGACATGGGCTTTGTTACAGCTGTGTGTTTGTGTGTGTGTGTGTGTGTGTGTGTGTGTGTGTGTGTGTGTGTGTGCGTGTGTGTGCTGAATGTAGGCCAGGGCAGTGAAAGAATGTAAAGCAGTAAGGGCGATAGTGTGGGCCTTATTCCTCTGGCTTGGCATCAAGGCGCTCGGCTCAGCATCTTTTGTGAGTGCTGGCAGTCTGACAGAACTGTGGAGGCTCAGATAAGTGCAGCATTAGTGCACTGTACTTCATTCAACAGAGCAGCTCAACTGTAGGCACGGTCAATGCAAGTGCTCTGAAAACCACCAGTCAATGTACGTGTGTGTGTGTGGGTGTACTTACGCATAATTTTGGTTGTGAATAGAATAATGGCAAAAAGGGAAAAGTAGACTGGGCCTCAGTATCCTGGATGTTGGCATCATACTGGTATTGACCACCGGATGGCAGTGTAACTGTTTATTAAAAAATGTTTTTTAGACAATGATCAGTGCTGAGAAGAATATATATATAATCCTGGCCAAGATAGACAGCAATGACACTGAATGCCATTTGATTGTATGAATATGACTAATATATGTATAATAAATACCACAAAATCAATATAAATACGAGAGCCCCTCCAGACACGTATTAAGACATATACAAATAGTCTCCTTGGAACAATGATTTGTGTCCGATATGTTTGTAACAATCATTTCCACATTAAAATCCTTAATAAATCATCTCCTCCTTCTACCTCATTAAACCTTCCAGAATCTCTGAATATGCAAATGTTGCTCATTTCTAAAGTTTTCCTGCTGAACACAAGATGTCTCCTACTTCACCGTAAAGTCTATTCTCAGTGGATGAGCACTGGTGACTTCAGGTTTCTACATCACATTGTACAAGTTACATACTAGAATAGGTCAGTCAGTATTTGACACCCTGGGAATGAGACTCAACAATCAACTATCTTTCTCGGCTCTGATTGGTTGTTTTCCATTCAGGCCCGGTGGATTCTTGTAATAAGGTATTCTAGTCTGTTTGTTTTATAGAGTAGGAGACCTCTGTGGATAAAAACACACCTATGAATATTATATTCCTTTTCTGACAATAGATCCTCCTCAATGTTACACACTGGACTTTTAAAAAAACATTAATTTGAGTATTTCCAAACCTGCATTGTTTACTTACATTAACTGGCCGGCAATGTTTTTCTCTGCCTTTTACTGGAGCATCACTATGTTTCTTGGTGTGATTCTGCAACCAGCTGTAGATCAGTGGAACAGCCTCAAACAAAAACAGGAATGTGTCTTTGTTGATATGGTAAATGGACTGTACTTATGTAGCGCCTTTCTAGTCTTTCTACTTAATGCACTGCACACTACATGCCGCACTCACCCCATTCACACACTTTCATACACTGATGTACCATGCAAGGTGCCAACTGCTCACCAGAACAGAAACTAACACATTCGTACACATTCACACACCAATGCACAGCATTGGGAGCAATTTGGGTTCAGTGTCTTGCTAAGGAAAGTTCAACATACAGTGTGCGGAGCCGGGGATTGAACCCCAGTTTGAAATTAAATTTTTCAATTCAGTACAATTTTATTTGTATAGCACCAATTCATAACAGAAGTTATCTCAGGACACTTTTTAAATAGAGCAGGTCTAGACCGAACTCTTTATAACATTATTTACAGAGACCCAACAGTACCACCATGAGTAGGCACTTGGCGACGGCGGCAAGGAAACCTCAGACAGACTCTAGGTGGGTGGCCTCGACCAGTTGGGGGGAGCGCTATTAGTGGTCAAGAAGTCCACAGGGTACCTTTGAGGTTTGTTGGTACCAATAGATGCATTAGGTCTTCTAGTTTTATAAAAGGTACCAGTATATTCACTCTACCTTCAAAATGGAGCCCACTGCAGCCTCTGAAATACAGTCTGAGTGGAAGAGGTAACGATAATGGAGTGGCCAATCAGATTTTAGGGGTGGCCATGCCACCTCAGGCCCCCATCTGGAAACACCACTGGATACAGCAATATTTTCTACGCTGTCAGTGTCAGGTCCACTGTTGAATGAGTACAGCTATGAGCAGGGACAAAGGACAAAGACAGGATATCTATCAAAAGGCATTCAAATGTCTCGGAAGTAACCTCCCTGTGGTGCTGTGTGCTGATTAATACATTAAAACCAATTTGACCATTTATCTCCCTAGATGAGCACAGTACACTCAGTTGCCAGTTTATTATGTAAATCCACCTAAAACCAGCTTCATCCATTGGTTTGTGGAGTACCATTTTAAAGCCTTGAGTTTGGCATTATGGTTGTCACCATGCTGATTTGTTGGAGCCAGTGGAGGTGACGTACTGCCAGTTGAGCAGCAGTTTTTTGAGAAAAAGTCAACAGAATATTGATTTGACATAGTAAAATATTATCTTACTGGATCATAATTATTGATGCATTAATGTATTCATCACTTTAATGTGACAGCAGGTAAAGGTGGAGCTCATTCCAACTACTTTATATACTGTTGGGTATCTTAAACTGTAAAAATAAATCAGAATTTATTAGCTGAATAATATTGAGTTAATAATAAATGAATGCAGTGGATTAAACAGTTCTGTCCAAAATGTTCCAAAATGGAGTGCAGTGGAAGTCTAAAGCAGCATAAAATGCTCACTTGAGTAAATATACTTAGTTAAACTCCACCACTAGTTATTTACTCATACATGCCACATTTTGAAATGAAATGATCCTATAGATTTTAGTGAGTGTGATTTATCACACACAACATGATCTCACCATGTAACTGTGTTCTCTTATATTATCTGTAAATTCCTATAAATAAACAATGATTGGATTTAGTTTGAATATTGTCAGTTAGGTTTTCAATCGTGCCGAGGAACAAAAAGCACTCATGTTCTACATTTTTAGGTCACACCCAGGCAACTTAAATAAAATTGAATTGAATTGAACTTGATAAAAGACTTCTGCGTAGGATACAACAGTGTTTCCTCGCTCTCAGCTCCCCCAGAAGCCTCCTCTCTCCTTGTCTGAAGCATAAGCGTAATGAAAAGTGTAAGTATCAAGTGTGGCCCAGTGCTCCAGATGAATCATAGGTGACTTTGAGATGATGATTTAGCCTACCAGAATCTCTGACTTTATTGCTTGGTAAATCCCAACACTTCCAAGATCTTTTTTTTTTTTCCCCAAAGTAGTACTACTTTAACAGCCGTCACACCCTGTAATAAACTGGAAACTGAGTGTAGACAATGTTATGGATTTGTTATGCACATTGAAGGCAGAAGAGTAAAAATCCAGACTGGGATGTTTTGTTTCTACATCATCATTGTTATTTCATTTCATCAATGCAAAATATGAATGTACAGTACATTAAAATGTGAAGGTTTTCTTTTCATGTTGTTAAATCTGTTAAAGATGGAGGACAGAAGCGAAGATCTAACATGTAGCTTTGATTTGTTGAAGCTGTACAGATCCATCCTGAGGGACAGGCAGTGAATGAACAATCAACGGTGACCTAGCAGCCAAAAACTCCGTCCCACAAGTTTTTTTTCTTCTTCTAGAAAAAGAATAATGAGTTTGTTTTTGCTCGTGGACTCTCTTTGCTCGTGGACTTTCAGAGGGCTTCGGTCTCACTTAGCTGAAGCAGAGACACGTCTTCCTGGTCCTGCTCATCACTGTTTTCTTCTCATGTCCTCGGACTCCTGTCAGTCTCCACTTCTATTTAGCCTGATGCTGTCAGTGTACGAGACTGTCAGGCCTTGTTTACGTACCTGTCTGCGTGTATACAGACAGACAGACCGGTGGCTGAGCAGCTTCAGTCTGTCTACTGGCCGGTCTTCTTGTCTTTCTGGAAACTGAAGCTGGTCCGGCGGCTCAGTTTCCGCTGCTTCTGGGCAAAGTAATCAGCCCGAGAGGTGCTGGCCCGGGATTCCAGGATATAGTTCACCTGAAAATAAATAGGGAAAAATGACATGTTAATTATCCACCCATGGTAACACGCTCTCAACCTATTTTGCTAATTTCCAGGTCTATATACTCAGTCTGAGACTCTACTAGACTAGCTTTGCATTATTCACTCTTCAAAAACATCCTTATTCATCTTATACTGGCCCTTCATGCAGCCCCTCAGTTAATCCTCCCCTCTCTAAAAGCACACTTTCTTCTGACTGGCCAACTTTGCAGAAACCTAGACCCAGTTCTTGTGAACCATAGATACAGAAATACAGATACCTCATTGGCCACTATAACTCTGTGTTGTCGACATATTGTGAGGTCAAAATCCACGAACAATACTGAGAGATTCAGACTGCACTACAAAAACGACTGTATGAAATGTGGTTTGTTATAAACATGAGAAATTGAACCTGATTACTGATTAAAGCGGCTGTGGCTCAGAGGCAGAGCGTGTCATCCACTAATCGGAAGGTTGTTGGTTCGATCCCTGACTCCTCCCGCCACATGTCGAAGTATCCTTGAGCAAGATACTGAACCCTGAATTGCTCCCGATGCTGTGCATCAGTGTGTGAATGTGTATGAATGTATTAGTTTCTGTTCGATGGGCATCACTGAGTGAATGTGTGAAAAGGGTGAATGTGGCACGTAGTGTAAAAGCACAAGTGCAGGTCCATTTACCATTTACCATTACTTTTTGTTATTAGTTTCATTCATTTTGGCATAGAGCTGATTAGATCCGACCACAGTAACTGAATTAAGCAAGTTTTGTACGTTTAGAACAAATCACATTTCATAAAAATCTGAATTAAGGTCCTCCTAGTGCTCCCAATGGCATTTGCAAGAATCCACTGGGCCTGAACAAAAACAACCAATCAGAGCCAAGAAAGATATAATGACACTTTGGGTTGGAGATAGTTGATTGTTTAGTCTCATTCCCAGCATCAAAATTTGACAACCTGTGAATGAGACTCAATCAACTATCTTCCTCAGCTCTGATTGGTTGTTTTAGTTCAGGCCAAGTGGATTTTTTAAAATACCATTAGGAACACTAGGAGGAGCAAGAAGAACCAGATTTTTTCACAGAGTATCTGTCTCATGTCGTCAGGATATAGAGAAAGTTTCGGCAAATATGACAAAAGTTATTTTTATAAAAGTTACCTACTGCAGCTTTAACAGTCTCTGCTGCCACTCATGCTTTGTCACATCCAGAATATGTCACTATATGATACTGAACGAGACTAATGCACCTTGGACAGCTCATAAAAGGCTAGAGAAGTGTTTCAAGCCCATGTCCACCCGTTAAAATTTTGTCCTTAGAAAAGAGAAACAAGACACAGCACAGACATCCAACCAGAACTCACCTTTAGCACTATTTCATTGACAGTAGCAGCATCAGACTCAAAGTAGAGAGGCTTGTAGTCGTGGTTGCTGAGATAGGTGAGCTTAAATATCGCATGACCTGGGCACAGAGGAAAACTGTTTAATGAGACAGAAATGATGCACTGGTCACCCCATCTCTAACTGTCTGCAAATCTTCAGTCATGTCTTTGTGCGATCTGAAAAGGTAAACCATGGAAGTGTCAGATCTGCTCTGAGCTGAGGAAGATGACTGGCTGTGGGATGTGAGCAGGATTATAGAAAAGCCATCTGATTCTACATGGGACTCAAGTTTGTTAACAAGATTAAGTGAAACGTCAATTTAATCTGGCATTATCGTGCGAGAGGAAGGCGCTATAATAAGAAAAAGACTTGCATGATGCTTAAACTGAAAGTACATTTACGTGACAAAAAAGGCAAAGGGAATTTTTACACTATGTGCCTGCATTCATGGCTTCATTGGCTTGGTCAGCTCTGACTAGATCAAATGTAATCCAGTTACCTAAGACAAAGCCTGTTGAGCACATTAGACTGAACATGAAACAGGAAATATTTAAGACCAGAAATGTCCCTAGTTGATGTTAAGGATCGGCTTTTGGCCACATGTTTTTGGACCAAGGGAAGGGCAGAGTCCTTCTCAGTAGAGAGCTACTACATTTCTGTTTTTATGAAGTATAGAATGTACAGATGTGAAAATGAAGCCAGTGTCTTGGTGGTCCACTCACTGGGGCTTCTCTCCTCTACAAGGTCGCAGGCACAGAGGTGGTCCGAGTCAATAGAGATGGGTTTCTGCCGAATCCAGAACTTAGTGCTGGCCTTCTGATTGGTGACAGGATCGATCTCCAGTTTCTCTCCTGAAATGCCTGCAGAAGCAGTCGGATGTCAGTTCATGAATAGAGACATATATCAGAAACATGATAGCCACTTACTGTTGAACTGGAAGTAAAAGAGCACCTGAAGTTGGTGTTTCAAATCGTTTATTAGATTTCAATTTTCAACATTTTACTGCTACGCTTTGGACTGCACAATAAATTGAATATCAACGGTGGCTTCCCACAGTTAAATGAACGTGACTGTCTACGATGTAGACTTGACATTTAAAATGCTCGGCTCACAGAAAAGTCATCATGTTGCATCCAGATGTTCTGGTTTCACTTTTAGGGAGCTAGTCTGTTGCTGCACACCATGCTGCGGCAGCCTGCATACTATATGTTTTTTTATAAAAAAGTTATTGCTAAGGAAAACTGAACATTTCCTAATGCTGCAGCTTCACATTAAAGACATTTAACTGGCGAAACACAAGTTTACTTTAATTTTTGAATTAAGCTAGTCACAGTCACTGCAAAGTGCTGGTAGCTTCACATTGCAAATAATATAATATTACTTTCCCAAGTAACTAGTAGTGTAAATTAATTATTAATACATTTCAGTAATAATATTACAGTTACCCCTAGCAAAAATAATTAGTTACAGCCTTACTTTTGTTGTCACCCCTACTGATCTGAAATCCAATCATATCCTTGGATTAATTTTTGTAATTCCAGAGGAAACTAGTTGGAAATATCCAACTACTGATTGATTTTAACAAACAAAACTGGAGTTTATTTGTTGTAATTCTGAAATTGTGGAGAAGGGGCACCAATTGAAAGTAGTATTTGTATATTTGTATTTGTTTTCCATTGTCTAATTTAGCTAGAACTGCTGTAGACTCCTGCCCTGTTTTATACAGTATTTATTTTGCACTGTATTGTTTCCCAGGAGCATTTATAGCTAAATATTGTATGTGTACCCTTGCTGATGCTGCATCCTTTGTTGCGCTGACATGTACCAGTAAATTCTTTGAAAAGCTCACTGTTCAGTTTCCTGTTTTGTTGTTTTAAATGGTAATAAACTGCATGTGAAGGTCCATGACAAAGGGGAACTCGACAGAATGGGGACACCTCAAGCTCCATCAAATCTGCCGGTGGCGACAGCTGTATGTTTGCATAATAAAATATCTCTCTGTTGGAATCTGGCTATAGACTACACATCTGTGTTAAGTGCACTTTATTAAAGCAGTGGAGGTATGGACTACAGAACTGAACACATAACACACACTCTCCTCTACACACACACACACACACACACACACTCTGCTGGTATATGGAGGGTTTGTCAGCTGTCAATCACATCTTTGAATGTGAGAATTTCAATTATAGTGACATGAGATAAACCCAGGTGTCAATCAAAGTTGGAGTTTCATCCACATGGAAGTTTAGGAAATTATGAAAACTCTGACTGTGTGAACTTGGACAGCAGCCATTTTGACATGAAATAGTAGGGTAAACACAGGTGTTACCAATGACTTACTAAAGTTCCATTTGATTCAGGTCAAACTGAGTCAGGATGCTGCTATTGTCTGCTCTGACACAGACTGCTAATGTTTGCATTCCTGTCTAGTTTTCAAGCTACAACGGTGGTCTAAGACTTCTAAGTTCAAGAGTTAGCAAGGCTACAAGTGATATTACAAAAAGCTTCCCAAAAGGACCTTCTGGAGGAGAAAAATAACACGTTTTACAGCCTGCAGTAGACAGTATGTACCTAGCTGGACATCTGTGGTGAAGCGCAGCTTGTGGATCATACTAATCTTGAAGGACTTGTAGTGGTGGCTGCTCAACATGTCTTGGACTGTGGTGATGTCAATAGGAGGATCTTCCTCTGAGCTCTCCTCACCCCTGGAGCCTGGACACAAAAAGAAGAAAAAAATGAATCTATGAATACAAAACAAACACCTTATTTTCCCTGAGCTACATTGACAAATGACAATGTGCGTTATTCATCACAAGACAAACAGGAAGAGGCAGAGCAGGTTGTCGATGTAAATAAATCTATTACTTCAGACACACAGTTAAATGTAGTGAAAGAAAAAGCTTCTTCAGAGCAATAAAATATTTAAGAGTTGCAGAAACCCAGCAACACTAAGGAAGAGCAAATATATTTACCCCCATGATTGTGACCAAACACTATGTTTGTACTGTAAAAACATCAGTCTTGCTGTGTGGAACTAGATTATGGACTAGATTCAAAGAGGTTGATGAAATATGTTACTTCGCACCCAAAAATAAAACTGCGAATTTGTGTAACCATCTGAAAGTTGGTTCTTGCCTGCTAGTTGGTTCTTGCCTGCTAGATTTTGGATTTGGAACAAATAGTTGTGAAAGTAGTCTCCCTCCAGAACTGGACTACTCCTCAGTGTTTTGGGGCACAGGCTACATCTGGTTACAGGTGCGCTGTGGATTAGTACCAACTTTTATCATTTTTTAAACAGTTATCAAAAAAGTTCTGAATAGTGGATGACACACTGACTATCTGACTGATTATTCTTGAATGTAGTGTTTTATGCCGTGGCTGTTTAAATAAAGAGGAGTGTGCCCTTTACTAGGCAGCTAATGATTATTTTGCCTATATTGTCTGCATGAAGACAATATGGATTGCAATAAATACTTTTTATTTGTCCCTGAAATTTATACAGAAAACTGTAAAACTCTCCTTAGATATGAAAGCACAGTACAAACAGTTATATCTGCGACTTACTGTTTTCTCGGACCAGGCAGAACTCCAGGGTGCTCTGGCTCTCCAGTGTCATGTCCAGGTCTACTGCAACGTTTGGCTCTGTCTGCTTCTCCAGACGGTACATGGGCCCTGTAGGAAAGCAATGGGAGTCAGACTACAGCAACACACCTTAGCTTTTACTCCAAATCTTACAGTTGGGTGGAGGGCAGCTCTAATTCTTGCTGATGCCGCAAGCTCTATCTTAACGGATAACTCAGTTTTTTAGGGGTCCAAGCAGCATAGCTAGCTATTGCAGCCATATTGTTTTTGTTCTCATTATTCTTTCTTTCTTCTTCACTAAAAGTGTTCATGCAGCAGGAACCGTAACATCAAAGGTCACCAAAATGGGTGAAAGATGGCGCTGTACAATTTTGCAATTAACCCAAAAATGGCTTGCTTAGAGTCAAAAATCTTTCATCATTTTAATCTCTCGATTCATCTGCATCTTTGCCCCAATAGTCTTCTTCTCTAACCTTGAGAGGCAGCTGGATCAAGAAATCAAACAAGAATCCATCTTGCCAGGCTTCAAGCTATGAGCTTGTGTCTAATCATAGTGATTCGGACCAATCAGCGTCCTATGAGGAAGTACTAGCAGCTACGGCAGGAGCTACAGGCGTTGTTTAACTTTAGGTGTGTGTGACGACTTGTGTGAGAAGTGACTGTTTGCTCGAAAACAACAATGGTGGATGCTAAAGACGTTAGCATAGCAGCATCAGTTATATCAGAAGTGGAGAGTATTTCTTAATTGAAAGAGCAAAGAATAGCAATGAAGGCTTTTTCTCCACGAAAAAGATGTTTGAGAGACTCATTGTCTAAAGATATAGTCACTCTAGATGGCATTAACTTGGCCTCTAGCACCACTGTCAGGAATCTTGGAGTTATCTTTGATCAGGATTTGTCATTTAATTCCCACATAAAGCAGACCTCTAGGACTGCCTTCTTTCATTTACGTAATATTAGAAAAATTAGACACATACTATCACAGACAGATGCAGAAAAACTAATCCATGCATTTGTTACTTCAAGGCTGGATTACTGCAACTCTTTATTATCAGGTTGCCCCAATAAGTCCATTAAAACGCTCCAATTAATTCAGAACGCTGCAGCACGAGTACTGACAGGAACTAGAAAAAGAGATCACATCTCTCCTGTACTAGCTACTCTGCATTGGCTCCCTATAAAATGTAGAATTGAATTTAAAATTCTCCTCCTCACCTATAAAGCTCTTCATGGTCAGGCCCCTTCATATCTTAAAGAGCTCATAGTACCCTATTACCCCACTAGAACACTACGTTCTCTGAATGCTGGGCTACTTGTGGTTCCTATAGTCTCTAAAAGTAGAACAGGAGCCAGAGCCTTCAGTTACCAAGCTCCTCTCCTGTGGAACCAGCTTCCAGTTGTGGTTCGGGAGGCAGACACCCTCTCCACATTCAAGAGTAGGCTTAAGACATTCCTCTTTGATAAAGCTTATAGTTAGGGCTGGATCAGGTGAGTCCTGAACCATCCCTTAGTTATGCTGCTATAGGCCTAGACTATCGGGGGATTTCCCATGGTGCACTGAGCTACTCTCTTCCTCTCTCTTTCTGCACTCATTCATGTCCCTTTAATGCATGTTACTAACTCCACTTCTTCCCCAGAGTTCTTGTGCTTTCTCGTCTCGCAGGTTCTCATGGATCCTGGTGGAGCCTCCTGCCATGGTCCTGCTTGACTGCCATTGCCAATACTGTTGTTGCTGTGCGTCTGTCTGTCTGTCTGTCTGTCTGTCTCTGTCTCTCTCTCTCTCTCTCTCACCCCAACTGGTCGAGACAGACGACCACCCACCTAGAGCCGGAGGATCTGTCCTAGGTTTCTGCCTTTTAACAGGCAGTTTTTCCTTGCCCTTGTCGCCAAGTGCTTGCTCATGGTGGTACTGTTGGGTCTCTGTAATTAATGTTAAAGAGTTCGGTCTAGACCTGCTCTATTTGAAAAGTGTCCTGAGATAACTTCTGTTATGAATTGGCGCTATACAAATAAAATTGAATTGAATTGAATTCTCCCGTCTGACTTCAGTTAGAGTTTGACTATGTTATACATTACATTGATCTGATCTGAAATTGATATAAATAGCCAATGTAGTCTGAATAAATATTGAAGGTGCCTGCCCTTTTCTAAACAGTTTCTAGCGACAACTTGCCAGATGGTTCTGTGTAACAAAAACCTGATGTAGTCAGGTAACTTCTGCTCTAAAAATTTTGCAACTTTTATATATTTTTAACAACTCATCCCAAACTGTTGGACCAATTTAGTTTTTTGATGATCATACACTGTATGTCTTAGAAACTGAACTTTCATCAGACGATTGCAAAGTGAAAAGGTCTGGACTCCACATTCTACTCCTACTGTGGGTTGCCTCTGCTCTCTGGATGCTGATGAAATGAAGAGTCAGACCTAAGCCAATCCATAGGTAGCTTCTTCTGAAGACTTTTCAGATTCAATACATATGTCTAAGATTGACACACTATGAATATGGGTCATGCTACTTTCTCTCCAATTACCTGTAATGTTGCCATTTTTTACAATCACCTGAAAGTCGACCTAATGGGGTCAAAGAAGGCCAAGCTGGGCTGGAACATTTCTTTCCTTTTCCCATCGCAAAAGATGACAAGGAAAGACAGAAATTAAAGCAACTGATCAAATTAGGGCAGAGACTTTTACCCTTTCATAAATATTGCCGGTTTCAGAAATGTCATCCTAATGAGCAAGAGAGGAACATCAGGAGAACATGATCTTTTTCATCATGTTAAACGGCACAAAAACAACCAGCTGAGGTTTGTTTGACAGAGAGATTACAACCCTCACTCTTCTCTTTATGTGTCTGAGAAAACGAATCTGCTCTGGCTGAAGGTTCCAAAATAAAGAACAGGGAGATACGCTTCCTATCTGTGATGCAATAAATATGTGTTTCTTGACTAAATGTAAGGTAAAGTGATTCTAGTATGTTTTGTCATTTCAGTGCCAAGCCTAGTTGGTAGACACAAAAAAAGGAGGTAAAAGAAAGTGAATTTTAGACTTAGACGATTCAATATGAATGCTAATGTTCATCATATCAACTTAAATGGTGATGATTTGTCAATATTGTGTTGACAACTTGTTTCCACTTGCTTCTGCAGCAACGGAAAGACCATAACAGTGGATCTGCATGTTTTCACCCACATCACATTTAAAGTAATAGTTTGACATTTAGGTGATACTCTTGTCTGTGTTACGGGCCTTTCTTAGCTCTGAGCGGTTGGAAGTTACTGCTCCCAGGAAAAAAAATTGTTCCGCCACATAACCCAACATAAAACAGCATTAAACAAAACAAACAAAAGATATTACGTTATATTAGTGAGCTTTAGAGGTGTTTGTATTATCTTTCAATAGAGCCAGGCTACAAAAAAGAATGCAGACTTGATGTGCACTATAATGGATTACACTCCTGTCGTACATTTCAAGAGTCTGCTGCCTGGAATAATAGGAAAAAATACATTTAAAATCTATAAATGTACTGCATGCATTTTCGAGCTAAAACAAGCAAAAATACTGGGATGGACCTTTAAGTTGATTTTTAAATATGTACTAGTGCAGTGCCCGTAGGAAGTATGTATTGCTATAGAAAAGTGGGAGGTTAAGTAGCTTTTTCATAGATGGCCAAATGAGGTTGTGTTTGAAGATGGGACGTCAGGGACAGTTTGTTGTGAAATGTGTAGCAAGTTGTTGTGTTTAGCAAGGCCAATTCTCCGCACCCTCCTCTGTGTGAAAGTTTCAGATGCGGCGAGGGGGGAAATGTTGCTTCGTCCCTGATCCTCCTCTGGAGATAGTATCAGGGACGCAGGAGCGAGGGCGTGTCGTAGTAACTGTAACTGTCTTTGGAAACTTACATGAGGAAAAAAAATACCACAGCTGTACGTGGAGAAGCGTCTGTCCTCCTGTCTGTCCTCCCGCCTGTCCTACCGACTCTTCCGTCACGTTTCTGCCCGTAAAACAGCGTCTGTCACCGGCGAAAAACTCACGGAGTGTTTGTGTTCAAAAATCAAAAATCACCGCGAGACATCAGTTTACTTTCACTTTCCAGGATGTTTGGGCTCTACAGTGATTGGCTCTGGTGTGCATGTGGCTACGGTGGCTATCGTTGACAATGCTAGCGGAATTCGGAAATAATTTATTAAATAATTTATTAACGGTATCTTTGTAGTCCAAACAAAGCCGACGTTGCACACCCTTAAACCACACAGCAGCCATGTTGAAACTCTCAGGTCAGTCTGATCCTGATCTGCAGAGATATTTGAGCCACACACAGACACACACACAGACAGTCAGACAGACAGACAGACAGAGATTTCTTGCTTTATAGATAGATTTTTCTTGTCCATATTCTATCTAGTAGAGGTTTAAACAAAAAAAATATATACTGTGCAGACATCAGGCATTCACACCCACTTCCTCTAAGCTCTGACAGCTCATTTGCAGTTCAAACACAGCCCATCATCTGAGGCCAAGCCATCATCCGGCCGCCTATCCAAATGTCACCACAGTTTGCCTGATAATGCGCACGAGCACCATTCAATACTCCCTTATCTTCTGGCACAGGCCACGTCGTTTTATATTCAACTGCGGCCTTCCAGCACATCGTATTTCACAGCCTCTTCCAGGCAACCGTGTCTGCTCATTTCATCCCCGTTTCTGCCAGGGCCCAACACTAAATTAGGCCTACTTCTTCATGGTGTTGGCTTCAGAATTTCTGAATTATGCTGTGATATTTTTGTGCTTTCTCAATTGTTTCAAATGTCCTTAATTCACAATCTGATTAGGAGGCCAGTTAAAGGTAGAGAGAGTAGTAAGCTATCTGTGATAAGCACTCCGCTCTTCAGGAAAAATATGTTACAATAAAGTCAATGTGAACACAGAAGATTTGACAGTTCAGCAACTGTTGAGTGCTAAGCTCTTGTGATGACAAAACCTTTAGTAACCAAATATCTGACCCGACTCCAAATTACATTATGAAGAGGCCCCTGAGGGTCATACAGTAGAAAACGTGTAAATTCACATATCCTCTCTGATTGATCAAGCACAAGTTACTTCTCCTGGCTGCTACTTTACAGTCAAATAGGAATAGCACTGTGCACTATGTGCTTTGTCACCAATCCTGTTTGTGACTTTCATGTACAGGATATCGAGGCGAAGACGTGGGGGGGAGGGGTTGGAGTTTGGTGGGCTGAGGATTGCACCGTTGCTTTTTGCGGATGATGTGGTCCTGATGGCATCATCGGCCTGTGACCTTCAGTACTCACTGGATCGGTTCGCAGCTGAGTGTCAAGCGGCTGGGATGAGGATCAGCACCTCTAAATCGGAGGCCATGGTTCTCAGCAGGAAACCGGTGGATTGTCTACTCCGGGTAGGGAGTGAGTCCTTACCCCAAGTGAAGGAGTTCAAGAACCTCTGGGTTTTGTTCACGAGTGAGGGTAGAATGGAGCAGGAGATTGGCCGGAGAATTGTGGCAGCAGGGGCAGTTTTGTGATCCCTTTATCGAACAGTTGTCACAAAAAGAGAGTTGAGCCGAAAGGCGAAGCTCTCGATCTACCGGTCAATCTTTGTTCCTACCCTCTCCTATGGTCATGAGCGATGGGTCGTGACTGAAAGAACGAGATCGCGGGTACAAGCGGACGAAATGGGTATCCTCAGGAGGGTGGCCGGTGAGAAGCTCGGACATCCACGAGGGACTCGGAGTTGAGCCGCTTCTCCTTGGCATCGAAAGGAGCCAGCTTAGATTTGTTTAGCTTAAAGTGGCTGACTGTCACTCTGTCATGTGCAGCACACAGGTGTTATAGTATAATTAGTGTGTGCGTGGGTTTCATCTGGATGATCTGACTTTCCTCCCACACTGCAAAGATATGCAGATTAGGGCTAATTGGTGACTAAATTGCCTGTATGTGTGAATGTAAGCGTGAAAACAGAGTTTATTTATTGACTCACTTGGTTTTGCAATCTGTGAATGGATTTTTTTACAAAAATATTTTTTCCTACCATATGCCCAGAGGGACTTCATTAGATTTTTCGTTGGAAATTGTTTGGAAAAGGACAGGTACTTGCTAAAAATACTCGGCAGGTGATTGTATGTACCATGTATCACAGTGAATTCAACCAAGCTGACCAATAAACCATAGAAAGTAGTCAAACTCTTAATGAAGTCAGTTAAGAGAAGAGAGAAAAGGGAGAAAAGCTTTTAATACCGTTCTTTGCTCTTCCTTCAATGAAGAAATACTCTCCACTTTTGATGGAACACAATATATATGAGATCTGATTCGAAAATAAAAATGACTCTCATTACAACTTTATATGTAACATTAACTTAATTTATACATTTTTAAGACCTGTCAAAATAATATTGAAAACAGTTTAAGGACTAAAATTCAGATTATTGGATTTTAGACAGGTATATCAACAACCAAGTATTAGCATTTGGAGTGACGTTCAGGGCTGCTGATCAGTTTCTAAATGACTATGCCACTGAGAAGAAATCATTATTCCAGCACAGCAACGCTGTAGGACCTTGGACTGTCCTTGTGAAGAAAGAATGTGTGTATGTGAGAGAGAAGAGGAAGAATCTGACTCCTGTTAGTAAATACAGTAAATAATCAATACTCATCTAAATGTAAATGAGACAATAGCCCTGTCCTGACTGTTTGTGTGTGAGGAAGTACACACATCTGTGTGTGTGTGTGAGTGGGTGGATGAGGTTACCATCTGGGTAGTTTGCCACAGACAATGGGCAACAACCTCATCACCATCTTTCATACACTGTACGGATCCTCTTCTAGAAATAGCAAACGGATAACAAAGCATAGCTAGGCTTACCTTCAGATAATAAAATACAGAGGTAGAGAGTATTTTGACGGTACTGCAACTTCACCTTTATATTTCCCTAATCTCTGAGAACAGATAAGGGACAAAGATTTTGGCATCGGAAGTAGAGTTGTTCTGGATTCTCATACTGTCTAGAATGTGGTATTGGCGAGTACAATGTCTGTGCATCAATCCAATAACATTGAGTGTATAAGTCCTGTTTTCCTTTTGTCGTGCAAGTTGCATTGACCAATCACATTTAAGCGGGCTTTGGTTGCACAAAAAAACAAAACAGTGAGGTAAGTATACTGTGGTGAATCTGCATTATCAGGACAATCGTCAACATCCTCACGAGTGACTTGAAGCTGTCTAGCTCGCTAGAATACAGCACTATATTGATTTCCTGATTCATTTTGAATTGCCACAAGGGGGAGGTAATTACATCCCCCACAAAAAAATGTAAAAGTGACAAGGAGATGAGGTTCCTATCTGTGATGCAAGAAAAATATATTTTTCTTAACTACATGTAAGGTAAGGAGAAAGTATGTTTTAGTTCCATTTTAAGATCTTATAAGCATATTTTGATAATTGCCAGGATAATATTGTTCAATTATTTTGACCAGGATAATCATGGCATGAATTTTAATACTGTCCCATTCCTATTCCATGGTTGCATTAAAAGGGAGAGAGCGATAAAAGTGTAATTACCTGAGCCTTTCTGTGAGCCTTTCCTCTTCTTGAGTGCTTTCTGGAGAATTTCCTTCATGGTTACCTTCAGACTGTCCACGGGGATTAGAGAGAAACCATGAGCAGCATTTCTAAAATGGAAAGAAAAGCAGGAAAGGTTAAGGATGCCTCTGAAGGTGTATCTCAATAATCCAGGCAGATGAAATGTGGTAAACAGCACTCCAGCTGGACCTAGAACAGGACAACTGAAGACACCTGGCTGTTCATCTTAATGTCTTCTTCACTTCGGATTGCACAGACATGTGGGCCTCTAGTTACACAGCAAAAAAACCTTGCAGTTATGGAATCTCCCTTTTGTGTAGGCACACACCGACAGCTAAGAGTGTGATCCTGATGTGTGTTCTGTTGTGTGTGTATGAATATTGAATTGAATCTACTCTGTTCAGCTTTGACGACTGCAATGGTCTTTCCTGTTATCTAGAAAGACTTAAATTCAATTCAATTCAATTCAATTCAATTCAATTCAATTCAATTGGGCTTTACTGGCATGGGACTGACTGTCACTATAATATTAAACTGATATCATATGAAAAATATATAAAGACACTGTTGAGTAGCTTCAATACAACACATGTTACTATGAAATGTAGTTGTATAATATTTGCTAAGAATTCAGCAAATGCACCTCAAAGTATGAAACTGGGAAATGACTGCCACACATATGACACCGTTTGTTTTGATATGTCGCATCCTTATTAGACAAAATATAATAAATTTCACCCTTTTGGTGATTACCCCCAAAATAGAATGCATGAAAACAGAACCGATCATTACAACTACAGCACAAAAAAAAATATATATATAAAAACAAACAACAATCTATCGCCTTGCTTACAGTATTATACATATAACACTGTAACCCCTGTATCGTCATACCTATCATATTGCCATATTCTTGCCAATACATAGCCCTACTCAGCCACCAATTATGCTCCATCTTTAAAAACCTCCCTTCAAATATCACTACACCAACATGAACATCCATCACCCATCCTATTAAAAGCCACTTACATCAGTAAGATGTGTTTACACCAAGTGAATATTAAAAAAATACAGAATTGGCATATGCAAACCTCCCACACCAGGACTAATAACTTTTTTCAGTTTCTTATGGAAATAAAAACGATGTCGATAAGTAGCAGATAGGAGCACCAGGAAGCAGAAGATCACATTCTGGTAAATATCAAAACCCAACAAAGAAACAACTTACAGTTTGCATGTTGTGGCTCATTTCCAAAAACTTTGAAATGATCAATAAACGCAACACAGCTGTAATGTAAAATGATAAGAAACCATGTGTGATCAAGTAATGTGAAAAGTATCAATATGTTATGGTCCAATTAATACTTCTCCCCTCCGCATAGAACACTACTTAGTAGGTGTCCTATATCAGGACACCCTGCAGGCAAATTATGGCAAATATTCAAGTATCTGCTTGGAAACACCATGCAATTTTCAGAGCCTCTAAAATATGATTATGTTCAACCCTAATATCTTTAATATAGTCTTTGCACCTAGTACATAGTACAAACACAACAGTGCAGTAAGGATAATGACATTTTCACCCCCATTAATGATTATAATTATTCATTATTTCTTACTTACATTCTGACAAACAGTGACTGTCTGGAAGCGAGGCCAGGAGAGGAGTATTTCTCCACCAAGGCAAGAGTGCTGAAACCAAACTTATGGATGGGCTCATTGGAGTCCAGTGGAGGGAAGTCGGTGTCCACCTCGCCATCATCTTCAGCTATGTGGAGGCAGTAGGCGTTCACATTCTCACTGTGGAGAGAAGAGTGTTGGGAGAGTCAGAAGAGTTTGTGACACAGAAACATTCTATGAAAGTGGCATTGAAATGTGTTTGTGCTCACTTGAGTTTGGGTTCTCGGCCCTCACTGGTGTACTGCCAACAGATGAGCCCGATGAGGTCATGGACGCGGGCGTTGGCGATGGTCACCACTGTCATTGGATGTACTTTCTCCTGAGCCATCTGCATTGAGAGGTAGACGTCTATCTTCTTTGTAGCTGTTGTGCCAATGTGGCCCTAAGAGGTGAAGAGACAGTGAGTACATCAGGCATAGAAAAACCATGGATACAGAGAGTAAAGAGGGTAAAAGGTTACAGTATAAGCTAACTAATTGAATCAGTTCTGACACTAGAATAGCCTGAGACTGCCCCACAGACACTGGAGAGTTAGCTTCTCTAAGCTGCTAGCTTTACTAATTTACAACACAGGTACCACACAGAAACCTTTACCAACAGCCTTGAATGTGCTTCTAGTGACTGTAAAAACTGTAAGAGGACACAGAGAGCTTGACAGCAGCTGCTCATGGCTGGTTAGCTTTGCTAGCTCTGACTGCAGCTGTATTCCTGCTATACTCAGCGGTTTTCAGTTGATCACTCTGGTCAGTGTTACCTTCCCACTAGCAGAATGGCTAGCTCTGGCAGTGAAATGCAGTGAAACAACAATTACACAAAAATGATAACGAGTAAAACGTGGAATAACTCACCTTGCCATCAAATTTGGAGTATTCATTGAATGGGTTGTTAAGCTGCTGGGGACACTGCTCCAGCCGCAGTGAAAGGGTGGATTTGGTACCTGTTGTCCGTGGCCTGTCTTTAAAGTCCCGTTTTTCAAATAGGGATCCCAGATCCTCCACTGAACAGAAAGCATGAACAACATGCAGCAAACACTTTAAGTACAGTGAACTTAGTAACTAATTTCTTCTTACTGCAGGAACATATCTAGATAAATAGAAGGGTATCATGCCTGGATTGAAAAACTGTTTCTTTAGTCTTTACACATAGACATGTAAGCAAGATCGTCTTAAAGATCATGGAGACAGGGAGAGAGTGGGGGGGGGGGTGTAAAGACTGAAGGACAGAGACAAAGGTGCACAGCAACAACAGTAGCAACAACTACACTAATAGTAGTGACTGATGGTAATGATGTAACTGGGGGGGGGGGGACACCCCCACTGCTAAAAAAAAAAATCTAGAGGAAACACTGTACACGGTGTAAAAGGTTTTAGGAACACTGTTTTAACTTACGACCCCTGACTAAGTGATATCTTATTATATACTTATATTCAATGCGTAACAATAAGAGTACAGAACAAATGAATCACTGTACAATGAACCCAAACAGTGTGTAAAACAAATGATTTGGATTAATTTTGAGCAGGTTATCACATGTGAATATTTAACATTTTACAAAAATTATCTGTCAGTATTATGTGTTTTTACAATTTTTAACAATCGTACATACTTAGGAGTATTAACAAAATATGTGTTTTATTCTCCCTTATGCTTGGACATTGTTAGCTCTATGTTCAGGTCTTTAAAGTTTGGAACTCTAAACTATTTGCTTTACAGAAATTAACAATATGCTGAGATATATGCCTATTGTGTATATTTTGTAAAATAATTGTATAAAATAATTCTTACACTAAGTATGCCATAAAAATGAATTTGAAGGCCCAGATTCCTCAACAGCTTTCTTATTCTGAATAAAGTTCAAACAATCCACCACACACAGAAACACGAAGTAAACAGAACAGTTAAACATAGGGTTTTGCTACAAAATCAGCAACAAGTGCAGACGTGCTATGTTAGTACTTTAATATATGTTTTTTTTAAATGCTAAGAAACACTACCTGATTGGGAGGATGATCTCTCTTTCCACTGAATGTTTTTACACTTGATTTGGTTCTGCCGCTCTTTCCTTAACCTTTCAAGTCTTTGGGCTGAAAAGAAAGAAAGATTATGCAAAAAAGCTGCTAGAAGCCTGGTGAAACAGAAAATTCATCATTACCTAAAGCACACCATGGAAATACAGTACACTGTTCACTTTGGTTCAAAATCATACCTTTCATTGGGCCTATTAGGGCAATGTGAGTATATAAGGACATTTGTCTTCAGGCGGACACACTGACTCTCTGTTATGTGATATTTTGACTGACATGACCCACCTCATAAAGACAGTGACACACACACATATGTACAATACACTCATCAAGAAGAGCTAATATCAAATAAATCTGTTTAAAAGTTCTGTGACTGTCCCTCTTATCTTACCAGCAGCCCCAGGTTTCTCGCGACTGTCTTGTTGTCCTGATGAGACATCCACCACAGGTCAGTACTCAATCTCAAAGTCTGAAAGTCTCAGAGGATCCCAGAACCCAGAACCACCAACCAGCACTCCACCAAACTTTGTACCAAAGTCAAGGGAGCCAAAAGGAGACGTGTTGTCTACCTTTGGACTCCCTCTAGAACCAAAACCACATTAACCTTCCAAATAAAACACCTGAATGTAGTTTCAAATAGATTTACACTCTTTTCATTTGATTCAAACTCACAGTGTGCAATTTTTACAACACGCCATATTACACACCCACATCCCAACTTAAACACACTACACTCATTTGATGATCTGATGTTGATTAGGACACCAAACCTTGAGATTTAAAGGCAAGAACATCAGGTGACCGTGTCTGAAGTCTTCTTTCATTGAAAATTAAACCAATGCTTGTTGCTTATACATGTGTAAGGCGCTGCGTATTTTCTCAGTAAATAAATAATAACCAAAATAACTATTTGCTATCTTTCACACAAAATGTGTTACAGCTCTGTACTGGAGAAAAGTCACTTACTGACACTTGTGTAATCCACACCTCTTCCTCTGCTGTGGAATAGTCTCTCTGTGCAATTGCGAGTGTTGCCACAGTGACATCAAAACAGTAAAACTCAAAATAAAAGTAAGAAAACTGAACATCAGTGGATAACCTCTTCAGGGTTCCACTCTTTTTAAATAATTGCTTTCCAGGACATTTTCCAGGAGTTTTTCTTGACAATCCAGCACTAGTTTAGAAATGGTCGCCATAATTTATGGGACGCACCGTGTTAGCTCGCTTTTGTGGTATGTTTGGCTGTACTACTGCCGACTTTTCCACTTTCCAAATGGACTGTTTTCACAGTAGCCATTTTGACATGAAATAGTAGGGTAAACACAGATATGAGAAGAATGGGCCCCAGTGATAAAACATTACAGATGCATGATGTTTCATACTGCTAAAGATATGGTGTTTTTTGTAGTTTGTCTATAAAAACAAAAAAGGTGACAAAAGTTGGCCCAACAAAAATCTAAGGTTTTACCTTTAGGCTGTATCGTCCAGCCCTACCACTAATAAATAAAACTATTTGTGTAGAGGCAAGTAAAAAAAATGGACTTTGGGAAAATAGATTTCTGACCAACTTGAGATCTTGCGACTGCTTTGGTGAATACAAAGTTGTCACATCTGATAACAGATAACATAACTTTTGGCTGGAGTAACCAAAATAAATCCCAATTCACAATAATTAGTGGTTTTACTTTACTTTTTGTAGTCTTGCGAACCTGGAGGGACTGGTTGATGTAGATGCACTTTGCAAGGAGAATGCACTGGATCATAGAGCAAAGGCCACTGGTGGCCTTGTGGTGTATGGCACATGCCCTGTTATTGCAACGTCCTGGTTGGGTTACAGCTGGGGAATTTTCTTGCATATCATTCCCACGTTTCCTGCCTCTATTGCCAAACTATCAAATTAAGGCATATAACCCCAAAATAATCAGTCCTCTTCCATAGCCGCTGACCTAAGTTCTACAGTGTCTTTTGTGCACTTGATGGCATGATAAAAACAATCTACAGAGCATACTGGCACACAAAAGAAGCATTAATCATTGTTAAAGTCATCTGTGCTACTAACCTCATAGCGATTAATAGAACTCACACAGTCGACTGCAATCTAACCCCATGCTTTCCACTTGTGCTGCAACAACCTTCAGTAGCACACAATTTGACTTTAGCCTCACTAAAGCATTGGTCCAGATTAGACACACAGACCCCCTCCAAACAACAGCAGAACAGGTTTTCTGTTGTGTGCCTGACCGAAAGCCTGCCCTGCTAACCAGACAGAGCCTGGATTCGAGCCTACCTGTGTTTGAGCGTCGACGGATGCCAAAGTCCCAGCTAGAAGTGATGTCCATGGATTGGGAGAGGTCGCAGGCATGATTGTCTGTCACACTACTGCCCCCCTCGCTCAGGGAGCCTGACCCCGTTGACCCACAGCTGCTGCCGGGCACCAGAGCCAGCTGGCACTTCTCCAGATCCACATCCTGGTCTATTAGTACCATCTCACACATTCCTGTATCATCGCTGGTCACATGAGACTGTCTGATGTGGGCCAGGATAATAGCTGGATTGTCCAAGAAAGCCATTTCGTCTGCTTTATTAAGTGTGGCTTATAGCTTTGGATGTTTTTTCTTTGTCTTACTCTCCTCCCTGAATGCCAGATGATCCCTTTCACTCCCTTTCAGTCTCTCTCTGAGAGTGTTAAAGTGGCTGATGACAAGTGGAGAGCAGTAATCTTCTCCATCTCCTTTTCTTGCTTATTCTCTCTGCCCCAAGGCAGGAAGGTGCCAGTACCTGTTTGAATTGAGAGAGCAGTTATTACATGGCGCAGGCAGGAAGTAGTGAATTACATTTGGGAGTTAGAGCCAAATCTGTTGAAATACATACATAATTTCACGACTATGAATGGTTCTGAATGGCTCTGAATGGCTGTTACTTTGGTCTGGCGTGTTCCTAACATGTAGTGTTAACGTCACGTAACGATGACTTTGATTTGACGTTGGAGAGACATTTTTGTAACTTTGCCAAATCCACAATCGGGCATTCACAATGACCCCTGTATCGTGATATGTACTGCATTGCCAGATTCTTTCCAATACACAGCTCTATTTAATAAGAGTCAGATCGGTGCAAAATCCACATAGAAAAGGTTTATTTTCCTTCCAGCTCAAAGATTCCCTATTTCTTTTTTCCCCCCCTCTAAAATTTGTCTCAAAAATCACATGTTCAGTCTTTACGGAAAATGCACGCCATTATCTCCATGTTCAAACAATAGTGCCTTTGGATCAGGTATATAAACACTCTTGATTTAAGACTGATTGGACGACCCCTAACTCCCTTCGAGTAAGTTCCCGTAACACTGGATCAAAAATCACAGAAAATCTGTGAAAAATCTAGCAAGGAACAAATATCACTGCGGTGGACACCAGCATATTTAACACAGTTTGTTTATTTGTATTATCAAGTAGCCTGCATAAAACAGAAGTAAAGCAAAGCCAGATGGGGACTTAGGCTCCATGGATTTTCAGTTTGTCTGTGGGTAACACAGCCCCATGAACAGTCAGCCTACAGTTTGAATATATAGTAGGGCTGTACAAGTCATCAAAATAATCTTAAAATCCCAATATGGCTGTATACAATATCCAAATCACAGAGGCTGCAATCTGTTTGACAAAGGTAAAATGTGACAAACAGCATTATAATGAAGGACTGTAGTGCTGCAGAGATGCCCTGGCCTACAAACCTTGTTCTCCAGATCCAAAAAGGCACATTTGTTTGGTACAGACGCAAATAAATGTCACATTATCATGATTTTAATAGTTTTTTTCAGTAAAAATTTTAATTGTGATGCACAAATGATCATTCCCACTAATCGTGAAACATATCGCAATAGCCAATAGCAAACCACATTATTTTCTTTAGCATATCATGCATGTAGAACAGGCCCTTATGCATTACAATGTAAATATGTACAGTGTGTTTATGACTGGGAAGGAGTAGACTAATTATACATAGTTACTATAACTAAACACCATCTGCTATTTAACATGTTACATCTTATTTTAAATCATGAATTAGGTACAGAATGATTATGAGATAATGTCCGACAGGATATCTGGACACGCTTGGAGTAAAAAAAACGGTAAAAAAATAAAAATAAAAAAGGCTTTGTGTTGTCATAATATTGACATTTTTTCCATTGACTCCTTAAATAGGTGTTAGCCAACCCTGAACACTTGTATTGACCAGTAAACATATGGCCTCTTACCGAACATAAGCTGAGTATTTACACTGTGAACACAGAGCTGTTGGTAAGATCAACACGGAGTTAAAGGCGGAGAGCAAGGGCAAAACAATCCCACCCCATTAGCCTGGCCGAGATAGCCGAGTTAGCATGATAGATGCAGAATGCTGTGGCACACTGCGGCACCAGGACTTCATCTAACAAACACCAAATAACCAGCAGCACGTTGTTACAGTCATATATAGTAGTTTCCATTGTGTGCGAGGCTTTATATCATATTCAAGAGTCCGTTCCTGCAAAGATCTCCTCCGACTGATGCTAACTGCAGCTAATGCAGCTAATGCAGTTAGCATAGTGGGACGTCAGCTTTGTCACTTGAGACAAGCCGTTATATGTTGACAGTTTCATCGTTAGCCTAAACGAATACTGTACTTTTGATTTTGAACTAAAACCTAGACATACTCTGAATTACCTTCCCCCAACAACATGGTTAACTAGTGATGATTCCGGTTGTTACATTGGATTTCTCAGGTAGCAGAGTCATGACCCGCCCTACTCTGCCTCTGATTGCCTGGAACGCGTTGCCTTCCTTCATTTGGTTGGTTGGTTTTAGACATCATTGTCAGGTAGCCATTCATAGGCCGAGTAGGGTGGGACATGACTTCTCCGTCCATGGGGGGGGGTAGTTTGACGTTAGCTAATGTAGCTATTGTGTTTCCTAGCTATTCTGAACAACGCCAAGTTCACTGGCTGACTCAAAACTCCTACACATTAGCTAAGTCAGCGCTTAACTAATAGTAGCAACAATATATATACTTGCTATTCAGACTGTAAATACATGTAACCACGAATGTTTGGTAGCAAGTTAGCCTAAACAAGCTTACGAGCTAACATAACTGAAGCTTACTTTAGATAGCTTGGTCAGTTCATGACGGCGTCCCACCTTTAATCACATCCAGCGAGGGAAAGAAATGTCCACACCGTCCCATTCTATCCATGCATACTCCCAGCAGTGACAGTAACTCTTCTCATGGGTAATACAGCACTACAGCAAGACCATGATACAACTGCAAGGCAAAGGAATCCGCTGTGCTCAACCTAGCGGAAGTAGCCAACTTTCACTTCCGGCTCCATTTCTTCAGAATAAAAGACGATTTAGAGCGACGGATTTAAAGCTGCAGTAGGCAATCTTTAGAAAAAATATATTTTTTGTCATATTTGCTGAAGCTTTCAATAGATCCATCCATCTATGACAGTTTTCCATGAGACAGATTTCACTTTCAGATAATCTACAGATAATCTGTGGGAAAATCTGAAGGCATTTGATTGACTTTGAGGGGGGGCTGCACAGTGTCCACAAGCAATAACTGACACTTCTTTAGAGACTTGTCGTGGCTCTGATTGGTTCTTTTCATTCAAGCCCAGTGGATTCTTGTTAATGCCATTAGGAGCACTAGGTAGAGCCAGAGGAACCTGATTCTTTCCCAGATAATCTGTCTCATGTTCTACTGTCAGGATATAGTCAAAGTTTCAGCAAATATGACAAAAAGTTATTTTTTATAAAAGTTTCCTACTGCAGCTTTAATGACTAATGTTATTTCTTGTTCTACTACTTACATACTTTTCCCCCTTTTACTTTCACTTTTTTATTTCCAGTCAAACCTGTTGTGTTATTTTTTTTTATTCGTGTTCCTGGCAGAAAATGACTGTGGGATGGGGGGCAAACAAGTGTGTTAATGGTTTTGGAATGGGAGGAAGCATGATGCATTTTATTTAATAAAATATTGGTTTAAAAAATTGCTATATTTTGGCTGAATTATAGAAGTAGGAAAGAGCCAAAAGAACGGTCTCTTATTGCTGAGCTGAGCCAAAAGATGTGCACCAATAAAAAGAGCCTGAATTCCCATCACTGCCACTGACTATGCCTGGCGTCCTCTTGCGTCCTCATAACAGCCAAAGGTTTCCAGTCTTCAGAGGGGGTGGAGCTCATTATCATAGCTTTCAGATTTATTGTGTTGTTCAGTGTCCCACATCATCACAACATCAGCTTACACTGCCTGGCTGGAGACTGATGCGAAATATAAGAACAGTAATTTTGCTGCTGGAATCATAAATTTGTTCCCACTGCCAAACTTTGGTAAGTAAGCACCGGCGGACCGTAAGCTGCTGCCAACATCAACACCAGCACGGTTGGTTGGAAGTTTTGGAGGGGGGATATGGACGGTATCCGCGCTCCGGTCGGTGGATGAGACGCAACGAGGAGCAGTGTGAGGGCTGGTCTGAGCGACCCTCAGCAGCCAGCAGCCTCATTCTGCGCGCAGGCTGATAACGGAACACACCCCCTGGAGAATATTTGGCACGTGTGGAGCATCTGTTCAGCACTCCTGCTCCCTCTCTGTTGGATAGAAACTGCAGCTCTGATTTCTTTTCCTCTTCTCTCTCGCATCGATTGTGCTGCGGCAGACATGGAGGATCAGGGCCGGATGATGCAGGCTCTCAGCGGCATGACTCTGGCCGGACACTCGGTGCAGGGAACCGTCGGGCTGCCTCTGCCTCATATCCACGACTGTACCGACGGGGACCGACGCAAGCAGGACATCGGGACTATTCTACATCAGATCATGACTATTACGGACCAGAGTCTGGATGAAGCGCAGGCAAAGTTAGTTTTTCATATTGATTTTGTATATTATTATTAATGGATGCAAATAGTTCAAGTAAACACAGGTAGACCTTTAGGCTTTGCCATGTTCATTTTAACTATTGAAATGGTATGATAGTGTTATATTATCATTAATGAGAAATACTCATTTCATCCTCTGAAGTTACAGGTTTAAATGGCAAAATAACATTTTTGGGAATTAATCACTCATAATGTAGTTAGAAGATAAAATCCAAGGAATCTGGTTAGTTCCTATTGTGAAAGCCGGGTTATGTTTATTAGGCTACATACAGGCTATATGATTTTTTGCAACATTTTGTTTGACAAAGAAAATAAATTAAACAAACTGCAAACTTCCACTCTTGACCGCAGTCTATGGAATCCCATTTCCGCCAATGAAATAAAAGAAAGGATCATGCAAGTCATTACAATGAGGAACTTTTTTTTAAAAAATGCCTTAATATTTCAAAATAATGACTTGGTGTCTCAAAATATTGGGAAACTCTCTAAATAATCGCATAGTATCTCAAAATAATGGCATAGTTTTGCATTATTTTGTCATTCTACGTCATTATTTTGAGAAAGTTTCTTATTATAATGACTGGACCTGGAATTATTAATTATTTTTACTGTGGTTGTCATGGAAACCACGTTACAGCAGAATTGCAATTGAATTTACTGAAAAAATGACCTGTTTAGGAGGCAAATACATATCAAACATTAACACAAATGTCAAATGCTTTAATCAATATGTTAATCAGTGATAAATACAATTCTTTATACTGTTATATGAGGATAAAAGGGAAAGATTTTTCTTTTTCAAAGTTCTGTTAATGCAGGAGATGTGTTAGGTTTAACTTTTTAAATTAATTTTTAAGATCCAGTTTTCATTTTTCCCCATTAAAATAACAGTGTGGATATATGGGCACCATGGATACTATCAATACTAGTACTGCACAAATAAAAAGTAAAAAATATATATAAATAAAATTAAAATTAACATAATATAGGAGATGGTCACTTTATTCCTACCTGACACTTCCATTACACACTGAAAGGGAATCTATTAAGAATATAGTTGTTAAGGGGGTCAAATGAGTAAACTAAGTAAAAAGTATAATGACCAACGCTGTTCTCCCCTACTCACTTTCTGCAAGTTCTTCATTTACAAGAAGCTCAATAACCTCTCTAGATATATGCTCTAAAAGGGAAACATAATGGAATTACCTTTGTATTCTTTAAAAGTAGAATCACCAGGGGTCGCAGTATATCTGAACCTGTCAGACATCTTTTTGTGGCACTCTGATGGGTTATTCATTTGTAAAAAGATCTATGTTCTCCACACTGATCTTCAAAATCTGAAAATTAGCTTTTTAATTACTGATATAATTACATATGTTGATATTATGTCCACTTGAAGGCTGGTTTGGCCTGTCTGCCACTCTGGTCTTGTGTAATGCCTTACTCTGTCACCTGGCAACTGAAATGTCAAAACCTGACATTTATCAGTTAGTTACAGTCTACTAAGTGACTAAGCAGAGGTCAAATTGTATTGGTTGAGGCAATAAATATTTGACGTCTGAGGTCGTAAGAGCAGACTGAGGAGCATAAAGAACATTTAGGCTTCACTTTGGTCTGTTTAAAGCTCCCCTCCAGTTAGTCACAATCAGTGTTTCTTCTTCTTGCTATTCATAGATTCTGGAATTTTTAATGAGGCAGAAGGAGTAGATGACTTTTTAAGGATTTTAATGTAGAAATTATTATTTTTTTGCAGAAACACATCAAACACACATTATTGTTCCAAGCAGACTATTTGTATGTGTGTATTAAGACATGTCTGAGGGATCTTGAAGGTCAAAATCCAGCTGTGTTGAACTGGCTTATTATGTATGCGTTCCTTCTGCATTTTTCCCTCAAGCTTATGGGAGTTAATATTATTTGTTTGCATGAGAATCATTTTATTATGTTTTGTTAAATGCTTAAGTCATTGCCCTTTAGTTTACGTTCTCTGATGTGTTTTGGTAGGAAACATGGATTGAACTGTCACAGGATGAAGTCTGCACTCTTCAGCGTCCTCTGTGAAATCAAAGAGAAAACAGGTGAGTGATTTATTGTCTTCGTCTCACGTCTTTCCTCTCACCTCCTCCCACCTCTTCATCACAAAATGTGTCCATCTCACAAGAATAATTCATACACAACTCCAGGCTGGTGAAGTAGGCAGTGAAACACACTCTTCTTTATGGAATTAAATACATTTGATACAAAATGGCCAAAAATGTGTAGGTGTGAGTACTGTGTCATCTGCATTGGTCAATGCAGTAAGGTTTACCAGGTCTCTAGGATTTGTGTACATACATACAGGTATGATTAAAAAAAATCTCATAACTCACTAGCTTTATTCAAAGCGTTCACTCACATCTCAAAGTCTTTATGAGATGCATTTTGCTGTATGAAATTTTGGTCACATAATCATATATGGTGAGAGATGATAACCTCTGTCTCTGTTCAGACATGGTCTCTGGTGTGTGAATGATGTCCTCCTTGTTTTTCTCCACTGATTCCTGGTTGATTACCTATGATAGAGACAATCTGATACGTCTGCAGATACATGGTCTACGATACAATTCACGATCCATTTTAATATGGAACATTTTGATATGAGATGCAGTCCGATACAGTTCTTAACTTTTGTTTAATGTAGACATTTATTTTCCATTCTCAATTAAAATTTAAATTCTCTAAAAAAGAGATTGCTTACCAAATACATACATTTTATAAAATACCAGGGAATCCTAAGTATTTGTTTTTTAATGGAAAAAAATGGAAGACAAATGTCTCATTTCAGAATTACATGTCATTGTGTTTATTACTTTTCAAAGGGACACAGACAAAAAAGTGCTAACTTTACTCTCTTGTGGCAAAACCCTGGCATTGACCTTTTACCTTTCACGAGAGTGTTAGCAGCAAAGGTTCAGTAAATCAATTAATAATAATAACTTTAGAATCGGACCATCGACCGGTGTTGGTTTTTTGATCGTACAGCACTCTTGAGCTTTGGGTAGTGACTGAAAGAAGAATATAGGTGGCAGAAATGAGTTTCCTCTGTAGGGTAGCTGGACTCTGCCTTAGTGATAGGGTAAGGAGCTCAGACATCTGGAGAGACCTCAGAGTATAGGTTCGGTATCTGATCAGGATGCCTCCTGGGCACCTTTCGTTTGGAGGTTTCTCAGGTATGTCCAACTGGTAGGAGACTCCAAGGCAGACCCAGAACACGCTGAAGGGATTATATATTTCATCTGGCTAGGAACACCTCAGGATCCCTCAGGAGGAGCTGGAAAACATTGCTAGAGAGAGGAGCGTCTGGACAGCCTGCCACTGTGAACTTGCTTTGGATAAGCAATAGAAAATGAATGGATGGATGTTATTGCCATTTGTAGTGACATCTATTATTCATTTAATTGTAAGTAATGATGAATTGTGATTGGATTTCATGCTTATGCAGGAATCTTCAACAGTGAAGTGGGGATAATATCTCAATAATCCAGGAGAAAAGTCTATATTTGTCTAAGATAACACTAATAATATAATCTGTGTTGAGTTAAATCTCCCTGAACAATAGTCAGTCAGAGGAAAACAGGAATTGGAGGAGGAAATGCAGGCAGACTCTGGCTTTCAGACAGGAGCAGTGCACTCATCATCTCCTAGTCTGAGGCAGGACTCTCAGGGTAAGCAGCAGGAATTGGTTGTGAAGTGTTTGCCTGGTAACCATGTAAACAAATGTGAAAAAGTGCTCGGTGAGCATGCAGTGAGCATGCTGGCACACAGAGATGTGTGTGTGTGTGTGTGTGTGTGTGTGTGTGTGTGTGTGTGTGTGTGTGTGTGTGTGTGTGTGTGTGTGAGCTGGCTCGAGCTGTGAGGAGAAACCATAAAGTAGCACAGTGTTTGTGTATTCACAGCACTTACACAGTCTGTGAAATAAAACAACCTTCTTCCTGTGATGAATGCAAAGCTCTCACCATGGAGCTCAATTATGGTCTTTTTCGTTAAAACTGAGCTGTGACTCATCTTACTCTTTGTAGGACATATCACTTGTATGGCATGTCAGTCTGTCAGTCGACTTGTTGGTCCAGACTGAAATTAACTCTAACTCACATAAATAAAGTAGGCTACGTTATTTTCTAACTCACTCATTCACACTCAACACATTCACACACCGATGAACAGTTTCGTGAGCAATTTTGGGTTCAATTTGTTGCTCAAGGACACTTTAACATGCAGTGGGAGGAGCCAGGGATCAAACTGCCAACCTTCTAATAAGTGGACGATCCGCTCTACCGCTCTGCCTCAGCCACATCCACCCAAATAGTTTGAGAGTTTGAGCTGAGTTTGCTGCGTTGAGCTGGACGGACTTATAAGCAAGCCATGGCAGAGAGACCTTTTACATTAAATAGTTTCCTGCAACCCCCCAGGAAGAGCGCCAGACTACAAACAGTGTAGCCTAATTCCAGTGATCAATCATGTAATACACACTGGTCCAAAAGACTTTTTCCTATAAGCTTGCATTGTGGAAGAATCAGCTGTAAAATGGTTGATTTACTTTTCAGCATCACAACTCTCCAAAATGATTTATTTCACTATCAGAATTTGATCCATTCGGTCCGACAACATTTGGTAAGTCTAGAAAAGTGGCATGATGAACTTATTTCATCCCCACTCAAGTTTACGGAGGGATAAACCGGAAGTTAGCCAGCTCGGCTGGCAGAAGTTTTTACAGCGGGCGGCATTGAGCAACTTTCATAGGAAAGAGCGAGAACCACTTCCATTTCTCCCTAAACACATCCGTGGTTTGCCATGGGATAGCCATCTGCAGGGACATTTAGTTTAGTTTTAGTTACATTTGTGACAGTCGTTCACAAAATGGTCACTCAAACCAATAGGAATCTTCATCTGGGGAACATGAAGCTTCATGCCACATGTTAGAACAGCCATGCCAGTAATACTGCTAATAACACTCTTGGAGGAACAGAGTGACTGACCTGTGAACTGACATCTTTAAAGCCACTATTGGCAGAGCAAAAATTGGAACCCATAGAATCCTAACTGCATTTCATCTGTGTTTGCATTTGACTAAATAAACTGTGAGCCTATACTGTAATAAAAGGAAGTGAGGGCAATTGAAATCATTAAGTTGATTTAGCAGCTGACTCAGGATTGAGGAGGTAAGCAGTTCTGAAGCCTGAGGGGCCCTCAGTCTCAGGGCAATCAAACAGAGAGCTAATAAGACAAATAAATCTTTCTGCATGTTCATTATTTAAAGTGTATGCAAACACATGTTAAAAAATCAGATTGGGTATGTTGTTTTCATCATGTTGCCAAGCTGTCAATCCTTTTTAAGATGTGTCCTGTCACAGGGCTCACGGACATTGGCTGTTACAATGAACATAATGACTCAGTGGTTTGGAAAATGAAATGCAAACATTAAAAATCCCTGATGTGGTTTCATTTGCTCCTTTAAGCTTTGGATGAATATCTCACACTTGTTGTAGATAGAAAGCAGCCAAGCATGTTCTGTTACCTCCTCATTCCTCCATTCCCCTGAGGTTCATGTGATGGCTTAGATTTGGTACTGACCTTCGAATGGCTACTGGGCCCAGTATGCCCAAGTGTCTCAGAGCATGGAATCACTCCTGAGTCTGTTAAACCCCTCGCCGGTGGTAGGAATAATGTTGAGCCCAATAAGCTGAGTTTATTGACACATACAGTACAGTACGGCTGCTTCAGTGTGAAACTTTTTCTAATACTTTATAATAAGGGTACTAGTCATATACTTAAGTAATACTCAATTAATGCATGACTCATGATTTAATGCACAAATTAATGCAGAATGTGTCATGAACTCCTGTTGCTCACCACCAACAAATGATCAAATCACTGTGACTGTTTGTGATTAGTTCACACCTAATACAGTTGTATGCAAAAGTTTGGCCACCTCTTGACAAACAACAATTATTTTCATTGAAAATATGTAAAAATAGCATCTCAAGGGTTTGGAACATAAAACACAATATTTGCAGTGAACATTCAGGCATTATTTCGGTTTATTCACCCCCTTCTGAGGTTGGATTTTATGATGTGGACGCAGGTTAGGTTTTCTTCAACTGACTCTTCCATGAAGGTTTTGTTTGTGTAAGCAGCTCTGCACAGTGAAACTCCTGAGTTCGGTCTAGACCTGCTCTATTTGAAAAGTGTCCTGAGATAACTTCTGTTATGAATTGGCGCTATACAAATAAAATTGAATTGAATTGAATTGAATTGAATTAAATATTCCTGCAGGTTTTTTGCATCCACATGGAGGTTCTGATTTGCCTTTCTGACCAGCATACGAGCAGTTCTCTTCACTTGGTCTTCCAGATCTCATCTTGACCTCTGCCGTTCAGCTAAACCTCTGTCTCTTAATTACATTTCACACTGTGGAAACTGGTTGCTGAGAGTTCATACAAGGTTTGAAGAGTCAGAGTATTTGGAAAGCTTTGAAACTGGCACCAGCTGATGCTTCCTAATGACAACTGTTGACATGCCTCAGGCCTTAACGAGCTGACGAAGGTCTGAGACCTTGTAAAAAGACTAAGGCTGTGATGTATTCTAGCTCTGTCGTGGTCACCTGAGTTGATCGTGCCCATTCTAGACAATCTTCAAAATTCCACCAGAAGCGCCGTTATGCGTCCCAGAAGCGCCTCTCCATTCTGCTCTGTGTTTTGTATCCTTTTTAATGACAAAATATACAAGAAAACAACGCAGGGCAGGAAACACAGAACAAGACTGCAATGGAGCCAGAACGTGTCGTGGCCGGCGGCGAGACTGCAAAACTCTTACATTGCCCAAACTTTTACAAATGCCACAATTTAGTTTTTTATTTTATTTTTTGTTCAATTTATGAAACGAAACGAAACAATGCATGAATGTCTTCTGCAAATATCGTGTTTTATGTTCCATATGCTAGGGAGGCTATGTTTATATCTTTTCAATGAAAAAATCAACAAAATATGTTCTTTGTCAAGAGGTGGCCAAACTTTTGCATACAATTGTATCATTAGTTAAG